AAATGTTTAAAGTAGGATGTTAGAGGATCCGTCAGTCAACTATAATACCTACGAGGATCCGTCAGTCAACTATAATACCTACGACTAGTCAACACAAGCCCAAACTAACCGAGGAATCTAACTGCACCACTAAAAAAAGTTGTACCTTGACCGGCTCCTTTAGACCCCAACAATTCTTTCCATTTCCATCCACGAATCCGACCATCATCACCACAACTGCATGAAATCACCTACATTAAAAAAAGAATCGGCATCTATGTTAGAACCAAAAGTCACACTGATTGAAGAAATTTATTACAAGATATTTTGGTTCTTTTTTTTTTTTGTGATAAGTACACAAGATAAGTGCCTCCCTTGTTTTACTTTCACTCTAAACAAAAACTTGAACTATCTTACATTTGTGCTAACTCACCTACAATTTTAAGGAATACATAAGAACCCAAAAATTTTTATAAGAACAAGTACCTCAATAATAGTGCATCCTCATCGGCCATAAAATTTAACAATCATAAGCAGGGCCCATCATGTCCTTGTACCAGCCAACTAGATTCAGCCACTGCACCAACGAACTAAACCAAATTCACCAAATAATTATCAATTCAAACCAAAAACTTACCTTCACACTCGAAAACATTGAGAAAACAGGAACTACTTGCCCGCGGAGCTCAAATCCTACCAAGATGAAGAAGCGAAAAAAAAAAAAAAGTTAATACTTTAGTCAATAAATTTTTTGCTTCTTCCAGTTAGAGTGAGATATTAGCTACGAGGCAAGAGGAGATGGAGTAAGAGGCGATAGTGCCGTCGCTAATACCGGCGACGATGAGGTCCGGATAAGAAATTATGGTTTGGATCGGTTCGGGGCGAATGCAGTACGGAAAAACAGTTCGGATTGGGATTCTCTCGTCCAGTAAATGGAGTCTCTGTATACGTCTTCGTCCCAGTTCCTGCAGTCCATCGCTGTTACCATCCTTACCAGAATATTTCGGTGTTTAGTGAATCAGGGTTTAGCTGAAACTCTTGACGAAGAACCGGGATTTTGGATAATTCGCGATTAGCGACATCGTTTCTGTAAGTCCGAACGGGGTTTGGGGCCCACAGTCTAAAGGTGTCTAACGGGCCGGGTTGACCTGGAACCGGACTGGCCCAGATCGGTTGAAAACGGAAACGGACCGGCACGGTTCATTAAGGGCCGGGTGGGCTGGGTAGGAGGGTAGAGGGGGTTGACCGTTTATTATTTTTACCGGTTAACCGGACCAGTTAAATCCGATCCAATGAATAGTGCCTCTAACCGGTTTGACCGGTCCGGCCCGGACCGGCCCAGACATGAATATACCATGAATATACCATTGATATACTATGAATATACCAATTTATTGTATACAATTAACATAGTTTAAAATTGTTGGAATTTAACATATATGTGTATATATTTAGGGTATAAAACTAAATGTTAAAATCATAGAATATGATGGTAACGTATTATTTTTAAAATATGCTATAAATGTGTTATGTGTATTTTAAGATTTAAGACAATTTGTGTTATTTTAAATAAATATTAGACGTGTATTTATGCTTAATTTTTTAGTTTGTAAGATTAATTTGAAGTATTATTAATTTATTATGCATAAAATATTTAGTTTTACTATTTTTGTTAATTTACTTTTTAAATGCAAACTTTAATTTTGTAATTTGAATAATAGTACACTCACTGAAACACAATTGATTTATAAGTGCAATTTTTCCCATCCTTCTTATATTCTTTATATTAAAACAAAAGTACTAATATAACTTACAGTAGTTATACAAATATTTAAAAAAAATTAAAAAAACCAACTAAACCCGGCCCGACCCCCTCAACCCGTAACCCGTACGGTTTATTTTTTACCCGGATTAACCCGAACCCGTTAAACCCGTTAAGAGCAAGCCCGGAACCGGCCTGGAACAAAACCCGTACGGGTCCAAATAATACTGGCCCGGACCGGCCCGGCCCACCCGGTTAACACTCATAGGCCGAACTAAAGGTGTCTAACGGGTCGGGTTGACCCGGAACCGGACCGGCCCAGAGGCGGTTAAAATTGGAACCGGACCGGCCCGGTTCATAAGGGGTCGGGTGGGCTGGGTAGGAGGGGTAGAGGGGTTGGACCGTTTATTATTTTTTACCGGTTAACCGGACCCGTTAAACTCGGTTCCAATGAATAGTGACTCTAACCAGTTTAACCGGCCCGGCGGACCGGCCCAGACCATGAATATAACATAATATATCATGAATATACCATTAATATACCATGAATATACTATGAATATACCAATTATTGTATACTAATTAACATAGTTTAAAATTGTTGGAATTTAACATATAATGTATATATTTAGGGTATAAAACAATAAATGTTAAAATAATAGATATGATGGTAACGTATTATTTTTAATATGCCATTATATGTGCTATGTGTTATTTTAAAGATTTAAGACAATTTGTGTTATTTAAATTATTAGACGTATTTATGTTTAATGTTTAGTTTGTTAGATTAATTTGAAGTATTATTAATTTATTATGCATAGGAAATTTAGTTTACTATTTTTGTTAATTTACTTTTTAAATGCAAACTTTAATTTTTGTAATTTTGGAATAAATGTAGCACTTGCAATTTATAAGCGCAATTTCCCCCATCCTTCTTGTATTCTTTATATTAATACAAAGTACTAATATAACTTACAGTAGTTATACAAAATATTAAAAAACACTAAACTCGGCCCGGCCCCCTCAACCAATAACCCATACGGTTTTATTTTTTACTCGGATTAACCCGAACCCGTTAAGAGCAAGCCCGGAACCGGCCTGGGACCAAACCCGTACTGGTCCAAATATACTGGCTCGTCCCGGCCCGGCCCGGCCCACTCGGTTACACCCATAGGACCAACTAAAGGTGTATAACGGGGCGAGGTTGACCGGAAACGGACCGGGCCCAGACCGGTTAAAACCGGAACCGGACCGGCCAGGTTCATAAGGGGTTCCGGGTGGGCTAGGTAGGAGGGGTAGAGGGGGTTGAACCGTTTATTATTTTTTACCGGTTAACCGGACCCGTTAAACCCGGTCCAATGAATAGTGCCTCTAGCCGGTTTAATCGGTCCGGCCCGGACCAGCCCAGACCATGAATATACCATAATATGCCATGAATATACCATTGATATACCATGAATATACTATAAATATACCAATTATTGTATATTAATTAACATAGTTTAAAATTGTTGGAATTTAACATATAGTGTATATATTTAGGGTATAATACTATAAATGTTAAAATCATAGAATATGATGGTAACGTATTATTTTTAAAATATGCTATATATGTGTTATTTTAAGATTCAAGACAATTTGTGTTATTTAAATTATTAGACGTATTTATGCTTAATGTTTTAGTTTGTTAGATTAATTTGAAGTATTATTAATTTATTATGCATAAAAATTTAGTTTTACTATTTTTTGTTAATTTACTTTTTAAATGCAAACTTTAATTTTGTAATTTGAAATAAATGTAGCACTTGCAATTTATAAGTGCAATTTTTCCCATCCTTCTTATATTCTTTATATTAAAACAAAGTACTAATATAACTTACAGTAGTTATACAAAATATTAAAGAAATTAAAAAAAACACTAAATCCGGCCCGGCCCGGCCCCCTCAACCCATAACCCGTACGGTTCATTTTTTACCCGGATTAACCCGAACCCGTTAAACCCGTTAAGAGAAAGCCCGGAACATGCCTAGAACCAAACCCGTACGGGTCCAAATAATACTGGCCCGGCCCGGCCCGGCCCACCCGGTTAACACTCATAGGCCGAACTAAAGGTGTCTAACGGGTCGGGTTGACCCGGAACCGGACCGGCCCAGACCGGTTAAAATCGGAACCCGACCGGCCCGGTTCATAAGGGGTCGAGTGGGCTGGGTAGGAGGGGTAGAGGGTATTATTTTTTTACCGTTTTACCGGACTCGTTAAACTCGGTCCAATGAATAGTGACTCTAACCGATTTAACCGGCCCGGCCCGGNAGGGGTAGAGGGGGTTGGACCGTTTATTATTTTTTACCGGTTAACCGGACCCGTTAAACTCGGTCCAATGAATAGTGACTCTAACCAGTTTAACCGGCCCGGACCGGACCGGCCCAGACCATGAATATAACATAATATATCATGAATATACCATTAATATACCATGAATATACTATGAATATACCAATTATTGTATACTAATTAACATAGTTTAAAATTGTTGGAATTTAACATATAGTGTATATATTTAGGGTATAAAACTATAAATGTTAAAATCATATAATATGATGGTAACGTATTATTTTCAAAATATGCTATATATGTGTTATTTTAAGATTTAAGACAATTTGTGTTATTTTAAATTATTAGACGTATTTATGCTTAATGTTTTAGTTTGTTAGATTAATTTGAAGTATTATTAATTTATTATGCATAAAAATTTAGTTTTACTATTTTTTGTTAATTTACTTTTTAAATGCAAACTTTAATTTTGTAATTTTGAAATAAATGTAGCACTTGCAATTTATAAGTGCAATTTTCCCCATATTTCTTGTATTCTTTATATTAATACAAAGTACTAATATGACTTACAGTAGTTATACAAAATATTAAAAAAAAATTAAAAAAACACTAAACCTGGCCCGGCCCCCTCAACCCGTAACCCGTACGGTTCATTTTTTACCTGGATTAACCCGAACCCGTTAAATCCATTAAGAGCAAGCCCGGAACTGGCCCGGAACCAAACCCATACGGGTCCAAATAATACTGGCCCGGCCCGGCCCGGCCCACCCGGTTAACACCCATAGGCCCAACTTAGTTCAGTTCAAAGCTTTCCCGATTTAACTGTTTCTTCTTACTTTATTATTTCGAAATTAAATTTGAGATAAGCATATTTTATATTGGTTGGGATAAAATCGCAATATAACTTGACCCTCAAAAATAGATAACAATTGAATTTTAAGGATACGTGATATAACTTGGTACAAATTAAGAAAATAGATTAATATTAAAACTGACGATAAGAGAATAAAAGCAAACCACACAAATTGAACAACCTTGGCCTTCGAGTTCGATTAGCGTCAAACCAAGAAATGCCTCTACTGATGTAAGAAGAGAATATTACGTATAACAAAATGATAAGAGCTAGAAATAACAATATATTGCTTTGTATTGCGTATTTCAATGTGTGTTACAAATGATAAGATCCCCCCGGTTATAGAGTAGGGGTATCCTACTCTTGATGCAACTCTATACAAGGTTAAAAAATCTCATGATTTGCTAATTAACCGGCCTCTCCCTGATACGTGCTGAGATTCCCGCCGATCTTCAATTGATTGCGGATGTTTCGGCCCTCTGTTATTTGGCTCGGCGAATTTCCCTCGATCTTGTTTGATCTCGATCTTGTTCGGTCCCGGGAACACGAGCTCGATGCTGTAACTTCGTACCTCATTTCGATATAACCCGAGATCGAGCTTTAACCAGTCACGTTTCAATCTCGATTGGCCACACAATAGACGAACCCAGTTTCGACCGTATACAGATAGTACCCTCATTTTCGGAGAGAAGATGACGAAAAACGATGTGAACTTTCACACCCCGTTTCGATAGATCATGACGTAAGCGACAAACAATTACTGAAACGTCTCGTAGGTCCAGTTACCAAGGCATTAAATGCTTGTCAGCCGTTGGTCGACCACTACGGGTTTTGAACCTTCATTAGCAGAATATAAATATCCAACCTTTCATTCATTCAAACTTTACGCTCAAAATCTATCTTGTTCTTCA